TCAGCGACTGAACGTAATTACAGCCAAATAGATAAAGAGGCCCTGGCTGCAGTAGCAGCAGTCAAAAAATTCCACGAATTCCTATTCGGGCACCATTTCAAACTCATTACCGATCACAAGCCGCTTCTAGGACTGTTATCAGGGGACAAGCAAACTCCACAGGTATTGTCACCCAGGATGACTAGATGGACCTTGTTCCTGGCGGCTTACTCGTACAAACTGGTCTATCGTCCTGGAAAGAATCTGAGCCACGCAGATGCCCTCAGCCGCTGTCCCTTGCCAGCCCCAGTCGAGGACCCAGCTCCTGTGCATGCTATTTTCGAGGTCAATGAACTCAAGCTGCCAGTGACTGCAGACGACATCACGGCACATTCAAAAAAGGACAAAACAATCGCCCAGGTTCTGGACTGGGTAGGGAGGGGGTGGCCGGAAACTAACTATTCAGTTGATTTCACCCCATTTAAAACTCGCCAGCAGGAGCTTTCTAAGTTGCAAGGATGCCTGTTGTGGGGTACCAGAGTCGTCATCCCAACCACCCTTCACATACCCATCCTGAAGGTACTGCACGAGGGCCATCCGGGCATCGTACGGATGAAGGCGTTGGCTCGCAGTTACGTCTGGTGGCCCGGGATGGACGATCAGATCGCCAAGTGGGTAAGCTCTTGTCGACCCTGTCAGGAATCTAGGGCAGCCCCGCCAGCTGCCACACCCACCAAGTGGGAAAGTGCCAATGTCCCATGGTCACGGCTTCACATCGACCTGGCCGGGCCAATGCATGGCAAGACTTTCTTGGTGGTCGTGGACTCGTATTCTAAGTGGATAGATGTGGCCTTACTTCCCACGACCACCACCCAGGCAGTTGCTAAAGCCCTGACTCGTTTTTTCGTGACTCACGGACTTCCTGACACACTGGTCTCCGACAATGGCCCCCAGTTCACTTTGAGTGAATTTAGCAGGTATGTCACCAATCTGGGCATCAGACACGTCCTCACGGCCCCCTTTCACCCTGCTAGCAACGGGTTGGCAGAGAGAGCAGTTAGATCGGCTAAGGAGGCACTGGCCAGGTTCAGCCAAGAAGACTGGCATTCTAAACTGTCTCGTTTCCTCCTAAGCCAGCATACTACACCTTGCACAACGACGAACAAGTCCCCGGCCGAACTGTTAATGGGGAGACGCCTGAGGACTACCTTAGACAGGCTACACCCCCACTACTGCCCAGACACCCCTTTGGGGTCTGACAGTCTGGTCAGAGATTTTGCCTTACAGGACCTAGTCTTTGCTAGGAACTACGCGGGGGATCCTCTGTGGGTGCCAGGGAAGGTCGTGGCTGTCACAGGTCCGAGATCCTATCGGGTCCAGCTGGAAGACGGTCGCGTGTGGCGGAGGCACCTGGACCAACTGAGGAGGCGACGGAGCGGTCTGACCAGCTCAGAGCCATTTCCACCGGACAGTTTTCAAGTTCCCCTCCAGAGTCCAGTCGAGAGTTTCCAAAGGGACCAGCCATTCCCAACAGAGCAGAGGGAGCCGGCAGTAGACCGGGACTGCCAGCCTGAGACTCCACCACTACCACCCAGCGAGGTCACCGGCCATTCGGGCAGAGACTGTTCTCCAAGCCAGCCTGAGGGCAGGGACTTTCCCCAGGTCCAAGATCCGGCGCCGAGTCAAGCTCGCTCCCCAACGCCCTCTGACCAGGGCCCCACGGACTCGTTGCCACCCAGTGGCTCTCCTGAGCTACGACGCTCCGGTCGCCAACACAGACCACCGGCGTATCTCAGGGACTATGCATGTTCCCATCTAGGGGGAAGGGGTGTTATGTCTTTGGGACTGGTTGGTGTTCCCAACCAGGTCCGTTCTTTAAGCAGGAGCACCAGCAGCTCCCATTGGTTGGCTCCGTTTGACAGTCGGCTATAAAAGCCGGCTGTCGGGCTGAGCCAGCCGTTGTTCGCTGGCAAGTCTGCCTGTTAGCTGGCAGACGCGACAACCATTTATTCTTTGAAATAAACCAGTTACTTGGTCTAGCCTCTCATTTGATCTACAACACTCTCTCTCTCTCTTTTCTTTCTCTCTCTTTCCCTCTCTCAGGCTCACCCCATTGACTTGACCTGCTTGGGCAGATCCCTCCAATGCAGTGGACTCCATGGGGTGGACCTGTGGGGCCGGCACCTAGAACACAGTAGTGTCGGCATATTTGAAAAGTAGAGCAAAGCCAGAGGTCAGTAATTTTTGCTGCAAAGAATCACAAAAGCTTCTGGGTTATGCACAAGAAGAGACACCCATGTCAATGCAATTCAGCAACATAAAATAATGAGATACAAATTAAATCAACAAGAATCGGCAAAGCAATGCTGATTAGATTTTATTCACTGCTAGAATCTAATCAGAGATGCTTTGTCGATTCTAGTCCAATGACCTGCTCCAGCAGGGTTAGAAGGGAGTGTGTGTGTATGTGTGTGCACGGCTGTCAAAACTTCAAAAATGGGTCAACTATCTCTGTGGAGACCAGTCATAAATTAGAACACTTGCTAAACAACCAGTCATTAAATGAGGACCACTTGTATTTGGTTTACCAGTCACCTGGCCATGCCCATCAAGTCACATGACCACCAAATCACACCTACGCCATCATGTGACCAGCAAGCCATGTCCAGCCAGCAAGCCACGCCAGCCAGTCATGTGACCAGCAAGCCACGCCTACCCAGTCACATGACCAGCAAGCCACACTCTCAAATTAGTCCATGCCCACAGAAATTTGAATCCCACCTCTGGGCGAGGGGCACCGAGGATGAGTTTGTAGCACCAAGGGGGCGGTGGACTGAAAAAGTTTGGGAACCACTGCTCTAAAAGCAAAGAAGGTAGGCTGAATATATTACTGATTCACCATTACCTTTCTTGGAAAGGCATATCATTCTTGGCAAAAAGGACTGGAACTGTCATACCCAACTTCCCAAAACTGGAATAGAACTTATTCATTCCTGCAGCAATACTATACCACTGTTTAACTCCAGTGGCCAGGTTATTGATATAACCGAGGAATCAGATAACTGGGAATTTCCCAAAGCAAAATACAAGAATGCTGAACTTGGAATTAGGAAGATCTAACTGAAAAAACCCAATGTTACTACTATCTGAAAATCAGCTAAACGAAAATGGTTTGGTGCCTTAAAGCAGCTTGTGCAGTATTCAGTTTGACAACAATTTAAGAGATGCCTGAGAGAGTACAAGAATGTTTAATAAGATCTGGAATATCAACATGCCATTAAAGAGATACAGAATATATAATGCTTTGCTGTCATTGTTTACTGGAACTGGATTCTACTTGTCTTCATTGACTGCATGGCATTCATAAAACTGGAGCATCTTTGGAAACATTCACACGTGTTTCCCCAGAACAGGAAGAGGCAGTTGCATTCTTTTCACACTTCCTGTTTCTGATTTGCTTCCATTAAACTGGTAATTATAAAGAATTCTAACAAAAGCCTAGTTCTTGAAACAACTTTAGTGAGATGTGTTCCAATTTCATATATTGCAGTCTGAACTACAATATTGAAATTTTCTCTTAAATTACTATTCAGCCAGCCATAGCTAACTGCAGAAGTAAACTTCATGAGTTTTTGCATATATTATTTTTACCTTTCTTCATATCTTTTTTCTTTTTGTGCAATTGAATTTGAAAGGGAGAAACTCTCAACATTCATGCTGATTCATGCTGCTGTAGCAACTTTATTTTATTTAAAATCAGTTTTTTAAATGCTATACATATTTATTAATATATTAAAATGTAACCTAGCATCCTTTCACTTATTAAGTACTAACGATTTATTATTACTAAGTGCATCTTTCTGCAAAGAAATAGCTCAATGTATTGAATGAATGTATGTTTGTGCATATATGTGCACTGTCTTGTTTTGAAAAGGTTCTAGGTGAAAACTGATGTAAACAGGAAACCTGGGATTTCACAGTCAAAAAATAGAATACAAAAAGTTAATAGAGTCAAGAAAGAGATACAGATAGTTAATAATGAGGAACAGAAGGATGGAAAAGGAAAGAATAAAAAAGATTGTCTGTGGGATCATGATGGACATGCACTAAGGAACTGTCCAGATATTTTTCTACAGATAGCAAAGAGTTTGACTTCCTGTTGTCTAATTGTGCAATTGCAAAATACTTCCCTTGACACCCAGAATTAATGTGAAGAAAAAAGAAAGCTTGAAGGAAGAATGACATTTTCACTTCGTTTTCATGTTGTCTAATCCTAAAATTAGACTTTTGTGGACTCGGGTTTTTTTTTTTTAATTTAAAGGGATGTCTTTAACTTCACACCAGTTCTAGGAAAAAAAATAATGAAGCAAAAAGAACCTGTACAATGTGGTGTTTATGGGGCAAGGTTGGCATCAGAGGCATCCACCTTCAGCCATGAAAGCTCCTTCAGTGACTAAACGGCCAGCCAGTATCACTCAGCCCAACTTCTTACATAAGATTGAGAGGTGGGAAATAGAAGAAAATAATTATTTCTACACCATCCTGAACTTCTGAAGATATCTTGAGATATAAATTTGATGCGGAAATAATGGAAGAAATTGATTGCATAAGCCTAAATTAGGCCTACCAAAGTTATATATAGGAATTTATTGAAACAATTGCTATTGTTGATTAATGCTGATGATGTTTCCTAGTTTGGCTAAACAAATATCTGCAAAAAATGAACCAAGCTCAGGGAGCACCAAGGACTCCCCCAGTCCCCATCAATTGTTATTACTGGAAGTTAGAGGCTTCTGAACATGACATCGTTGATTATATATTTCTGAGTTAGCTCAGAAATATGAGTTAGCTATTCCTAAAGCTCAACTTTTCCAGGACTAGAAAATTTAAATGCTTCCCTTGGTGTGAACTTTATGAGAGGATTCACAAATGCATTTTAAGAACATTTAGAACACTATCATTTCCTATCAGGGCAACGCCAATTTTGTCAGTTTATCTCCATGTTGCATTTACTAACCTACCTGAAGGAATAATGAAGTTGTTCAGAGTGGCATTTCCTTTTTTACAAATGTAACCAAGTTTTTTATCACATTCCAGGTTTTCCCACTTGGCTGCTTTACCAGGATTTAATACTCCACAGATCTTCCCAGGCTCTGGGGATGGGCTTCCTTAAGGAAACAAGTAGAAGGCAAAAAGGGTATTATTAACTTCTTACATAATTTTGTAAACTTTGTTGAATCTAATGCAGATGTGGATAGGGACAAGTTATGCAATGTGTTCAAAAGATCTTTAGAATATGCAAGAGCTTATACAAAGCTTATACAAAGACTGGGTCCATATCAGCAGCCTGATAATATAGGATCACCCTACTTTCTTTCGGTCATTTCTTGCTCCCCCTGTCCTGCACCTTTCTTCCCTAAGTTGTGTGTGTTGGAAACAAAGTACAAGCAATGGCATTCCACACTGTCCAAAGAACAACCTGTATTGGTTTTTCTGTGCATGTTTGAACTGAAGACAGTAATTTTTTTAATGTATATGTTTAACATAAAAGAGAAAATTACCTGGTGCCCAATTTAGATATCTGAAAGGATAGCTACCACTCCATTGCCAGCCACTGTTGAAATCCAAACTGTTAAGACCCAACCAGAGTGCAGTACTCAAAGTAGAAGTTAACCCTGAAAAAGTGTCAACATTTAGCAATGCATCTGTTTCTGGAATATACACCGAGTAGTATACAGCAACAATTACAATTTATTGGGAGACAAGAAGCATATAGTTAGTTCCTTCTCATATTTCTGAATATACTGAGTGAAATGCTACAAAATATTAATGGACTTTAGATTATTTACCTGTGAGGTACATTTGTTCATGTACCTCTGTGATACCCAACAAATCGGCACCTTGTTGTTGGCAACTTTTACTAGCTTGGAACCAGGTTAGAGCAGCTTCTGAGTTTATTTGATACTGGACACTTGCCACAGGGTCTGTAGTCCAATAGAAGTCAGCTGTTAAAAGAAAGGTGTATCCATATTTCCCATAGTTTTAAAACAATGTCATACTAAATATTTCATTAAGACTAAAACCATATTCATAAAATTGCCTTAATGGTCATAATTCAATTTTAACTCAGTCCTGTGATGATTCTTCCTATATTTCAAATTAAAATTATTTGGTCAAGCAGCCAAAAAAAAAGCATAAGACTTTAATACACAAAGACTAGATGTCTAAATAATGGTTTATACAGAGAAAAGAAGCAATTTTACACTAATATCTGAAACTAGATATGTGAGCTATGACTCCAAGCTTCCCCATACCATCTTTCTATATATTTATTAGACTATGGATTCCATGATTTATTTACTAATTTGTGCCTTTGAGTCAACCTTGTCTCAGGTTCATATAGTGGGAATGTTAACACAGCTGAAGGTCATCAGAATTCTGAAAGGCTGCACGAACTGAAAGTAGGTGCCACTGAATTACAGTCAACTTCTGATAAACAAATGGAATAATGTTTGTATGTATGTATGTATGTATTTAATAGCAGTCTTTTGTCCATCTAGGTCTAAAGCCTAATTTCATTAGAACATAGCACATTAAACATTAAATAGATAGGGTAACAAGTTGTGATTGTCATAAATTGTTATTTTTACTTTAATTGAGCAGTCACAGATGAACAGATCATTGCTTAGTTTGATAAATAAATCATAGAACCATGGCGTTTGAGTTTTTCTGCTACAGGACACTCGTCCTAGGGGGTCAGAATGAAGTAATTAGAAAGCTGAATGTTTATAGAGATTCTCAATCATCCACATCATAGTTTTTTCATGAGCTTCTCATCCAAGAAGCTTCCTCAGTTATGAAGAAGAACAGAAGAAACTTCTTGGATGAGTAGTGAAAGTCCAGTTGACTTTGGAAAAAGAAACTTTGGAGAAGAAAGCTTGCTGCTAATTCACTAACTGCTTAATACTGTATAGAAGCGGTCTGAAGAACAGTATATCTATTAATATTAACCCCAAAAGAAGACGCAAAAATGAAACGCTTTGAAAAGAAAGTTCTTCAATTATAAAATTCAGGAAGGAGATCAGAGTTATCGGTCATGCTTCCTGTAAGCTAGACAATTTTGCAAGAACATACAGAAGACAATGTGCAAAACAAATGTGTCAAAAGGTCAGGATGCAGTTCCACTTTTCCTTCACCATTTAAACAATGCTATAGTTGTTGCTTCGCATACAACCCAAATACATACTAGAAATGAGTAATATAGAATGCTATATAATATGCTTATAAAATATGCTTAATGTTCTTAATTGATGATTTACAATGTGGTGTCTAATCATATTGCATATTAATTGCATATATTAACTACGCTGACTCCATAATACTTTTTGAATTATTGCAACATACTTGATGCTGGTCCTGATCTTGAATACATACAGCAGCATCAACTGATCCACTAATGCAATAGAGTGAGAAATTATGTCTGCTTAACTCTACTCTGTGAACTGAGGTAGCTCACTAAGCTTCTGAGTGCAACTCCAAGATGTTGGAGATGGTTATCAGCTATAAAGTCCTATAGTGTCCCACCCCTTCTCTCTTTCTGTGTGTGTATGTGCCTTACTGAAGTGATGTCACATTATGGATCTTGGAAGTGTGCCTTCTTGGTAACACTTCCTGTTTTGGGGGGAACAATAGCCATCTTCACAATTGGCCCCAACCCTTTCAGAAAGGCAATCAAGACCTAGCATTTTCCCCAGGGCTCAGACTCTGGATGAGTAGACTTTCCAATTGGATGGACAATATGCTGTAATGAATTCTGATCACTCTTTGCTGCTTTAGTTGCTATTTAATGATATGTGTTGTTTTCTTTGTGTTTGGTGTTTATTTTTGTACACCAACCAAAGATAATCTGTTTGTGTTCTCTCACTAAACAAACAAATATTAGCCTTTAAAAAGCAAGTATTTCCTCTATACAACAGTGTTACATAGTTACTTAATGCCATAATACCATAGAAGAGCTGGGAGGCAGGGAATTCTGCGGGTCCCATCCCTGAGAGAAAAACACCTGGTGGGACCCAGAAGAAGGGCCTTCTCTGTGGTGGCTCCCTCTCTCCGGAACATCATTCCCCCAGAGATTAGAAGGGGCCCCACTCTAGCATTCTTTTGGAAGGCACTGAAGACCTGGTTTTGCCAGCGGGCCTGGGGAACCCAGAGCAGGATGGAGCCCATAAAATAGCTCATATGATCTGCTGTCATCAGGTGGGGAGTTGGAGGGTGATTTTTTTTTTCCAGATTTTGTTCTATTGTACTTTATTAATTTATTTGATTTTTTAATTGTTTTTTGTTTTAAGTATGGTTTAACATTCTGTAAGCAGCCTCGCGTTGCCATGAATAGGTGAATATACAACAATATAAATTCAATAAATAAATAAATAAACAAACAAACAAATAAATAATACTTCATGATACAAACTTCTCTTGAAAAATCCTTACAGTTCACAGGACAGAATCCATATTTCTTGTCTTTGTTATAATCCCTTGTGGTTGAACACCACAGCAAACCATCAGTCCTTCCTTCAGTTGTACAGTCTGCATACCACTTGGTAGCATACTGGAAAGGGAATACACAAGGAGCCCCATTGCTGTTGCCTTTTAAGGTAAATAAGTCTGGAACAAAGGGGAGAAGAAATAATTAAATAATTTACATATTTATAAGAAATACTCATTCCTAGAGAGAAGAAAAAGGAAAGTCCTCCTGCCAAAGTTATTGGCGCACTGTCCAAAGTGAACATGGTGAGATCTTCAGTATATCTCTACTTTCTGCATACATGATTGTGTAAACAAATGGAAGTTGGCAAGAGCAGTGGGGTTGTTGGGGTTTTTTTGGATCTGCATGACAGTATGAAGGACTCCGCTATTTGGTATAGACTAGAGAGCCAATTCTTTGTAGTGGTTAAAGCAGCAAGATAGAAACCAGGACAGTGTAAGTTCTAGTTTAGTTTTAGGCACAAAGTCAGATAGGTGACCTGGGGCCAGTCATTCTCTCTCAACCCTAGAAAGCCGACAATAAAATATTGCCAAGAAAACTGCAGGGATGTGTACAGACAATTGCCAAGAATCAGTACTGACACAAAGGCACACACCACATACACAGACACGCAGGCACACATATACACAAAAGAATTTGTCATGCATGGAACTGCCAAATCATAGGATGATTCTATAATAGATCCCTCAGCATTACTCCATTGTTTTCTGCCTATTCATCTTACAACTATCTTCTACTTTACCAATTTCTTTTTCATGAAATTGAAAAGAAAAGATTGGACATTAAATACGTATTAAAATGTATTATTCACTTTTAATTCTGCATATGACATAAATAAAGAAATAAGGAATCAGAAGCCCTGATCAAATATCTTTGTTCAGAATTTAAATAGAAGTGCATAAGAGAGCATTTGATTATAAATTTAGAGTATTAGAGTATTTAGAGTATGAATCACATAAATAAAGGGTTCAAGGCTTCTGTTGCTTCAGTATTAAAATATTTACTATAATAGCAAATATGCTAAAATGATCAATGGAAATATAATTAATTGCATATTGATTTAATAAAACAAAGATGAAATCTTCTGAGACTATTTCATTTGAAATGTCAAATATTTGTTTTAAACAAACTTTATTGATTACAAAACCAAAATATCAAACACACAGAAGAAGAAAGAAAAGAAATGGAAAAAAAGAAAATGATTAAAAAACTAACAATTCTACTATCGACAGTCTATGGTTCCTTGTTTGTTATCAATATTGGTGATACATTTACAAATACATCTTATTGCGAGTATATAATTATGATTTACATTTTACGTTATTTACTAATATATTTTCTATTTTTGTTCTATCCAATCATACCAGCATTCCCAGCTTCTATAATATTCTGGTGTTTCTTTTTCTTTATATGCTGCTGATCTTGTAATTTTATTATTCCTTGTCCAAACCTTTTCCCATTCTAATAATGTAATGCTATGTCCTATGTTTCTGCTCCAAGCTATCATGTTGCCTTTGACTACTTCCTCTTCTAATTCCGTCTCTAGTAAATAATTATAAAATTTAGTTATATTTTTTTTATCTGGACCTAATAAAATTTTATCTATTTGTTGTGCCTTAGTATAAATTCCAATTTTTTTCTTGTCCTGGCTATATCTATTTTGAATTTGTAAATAAGCCCACCAGTCTATTTGTAGCCCCTGTTCTTGGAGATCTTGCCATGATTTTAAAGTTCCTTGCGCATCAAGGAGGTCTTTGTATTTTATCATTAAGATCTATATTGTTTGGATGTATCATCACCTCCATCGTTGAGATCCAAATTGGGTTTTTTAAATAATGTATTTTTTTATTTTGTTCTAATTAGCCAATAAGGAATCTCTAATTATATGTCTGTGGAAATACTTCGGCTTAATTTTCCCAATGTCCCATAAAAATGCATGCCATCCCCTCTGTAAATCATGGTCTTCTAAAAATAAGATCCTTTTATTCGACAGATTTACCCATTCTTTCAACCAGAGTAAGGAGGCTATACTATAGTATAATTCCCAATTTGGAAGTGCAATACCTCCCCTGCTCTTCATATCTTGCATTGCCTTTAGGTTTATCCTCGGTTTTTTCCCTTGCCAGATAAATTTGGTGATTATCTTGTTAAGTTCCATGAAGTAATTTTTATGTATTTTTATTGGTATTGTTTGGAATAAGTAAATAAATTTGGGCTGAATATTCATTTTTATAGTGGCAATCCTCCCTAATAAGGAGATTTGCAATTTAACCCATATCTCTAAATCTTTTTTAACTTGCTGTAATAATTTATTATAATTATTTTCCATTAGAATTTTGCATTGAGCCGTCAACCAAATTCCTAGGTATTTAACTTTTTTTACTATTTGTAATTCCATTATCCTTTCCAATTTTAGTTTTTGTTTTTCTGTTAATTTTTTAGTTATTAATTTCATTGTTTCCCTATTAATTTTAAGTCCTGCAACTTCCCCAAATTGATCTAACTCTTTCAGTAATTCTTGACCTGTTTCAATTGGTTCCTCTATAAAAAATACCATATCATCTGCAAATGACTGGAGTTTATATTCTTCTTTTTTAATTTTTAGTTCTTTTATTCCTGGGTTCTGTCTAATTCGTGTAAGCAATGTTTCTAAAGATAATATGAAGAGCAGGGGGGATAATGGACATCCCTGCCTGACTCCTTTCTCTATTTTTATTGAGTGCATGTACTCCATTAATTATAATATTCGCCTTTTGTGAATCATAAATTGTAGTCACGATGTTTTTAAACTTAGTGCCTAGATTCATGTTGTAAATTTGTTGAATTAGGAATTGCCAATTTAAATTGTCAAAGACCTTCTGTGCATCCAAGAATACAAGGGCTATTTTTTTTTCTGGGTGGGCTTCGTAGTATTCCAAAACATTTAATATTATCCTTAAATTATTCCTGATTTGTCTATTAGGAAGAAATCCGTTTTGATATTTATGTATATATTCATTCAATATTTTTTTCAATCTATTTGCTATAATTGTAGTAAATATTTTATAATCAGTATTTAACAGGGAAATTGGTCTATAGTGTTATATATGTCGTGAATCTGAATCTTCTTTCAGAATCAACGATATCAATGTCTTCTTCCATGAATTCGGCATTCTTGCTGCTAGTAGGACCTCATTATATACTTCCACCATGAGAGGTCTTATTTGTTCTCCTATTTTTTTATAAAGTTCCCCTAGTATCCCATCGGGTCCTGGGTTTTTATTGTTCTTTTGGTTTTCTATTGCTGCTTTTAACTCGGGCCACGTAATATCTCTAATTAACATTTCCTTCATCTCCTCCTTAATTATTTTATCTTTAGTAATACCCAAATAGATTCTTATCATATCCTCATTTACCTCCTTCTTTTTATAAAGATCTTCAAAAAATTTACATGCAATTTCTATTTTCTGTTCTATCCCTTGTTGGGCATCCCCGTTCTCAACTATTAATTGGTAGATCAATCTTTTTTGTTTTTCTTTTTTAAGTTTATAGGCCAACCACCTTCCTGGTTTATTGGCCTGTTCAAAAAATATCTGTCTGGCTGTATTTAACTTTGAGACCATTCCTTCTTGTTCGATTAAATTTAATTTATGTTTAGTTATTATTATCTGTTTTTTCAATTTACAATCTTTTGGAGTGTTTTGCAGCTGAATTTCTAATTCTTTGATTCTTTGTTCTAATTTATTTTGTTGGGCATGTTTTTCTTTATTTCTTTTAGCAGTGTATGATATCGTTATGCCTCTTATTACTGCCTTCATTGTATCCCAAATATTCTGTTTCGTAGTTGCCTCATTATTTTCTTTTAAAAAATAGTCTAATTCCTCGTCAAGTTTATTCATAATTTTTTTTCTCTTTAATTAACTGTGTATTTAAGGTCCACCCTTTCCTTGGTTTCTTCCTGCCTTTCCACACTATCTGGATCAGGTTATGATCTGCCCATTCATTTGGTAAGATTTCAATCTCTTTTAATTCATTTACTAATTAACCATTCATCCACGCCATATCAATTCATGTTCATGATTGGTGAGGGTTGAAGTAAAATGTAAATTGCTTTTTCTCAGGGTTTAATTTCCTCCACATGCTTTCATGTCTTTCACATATACTGCTATCCCTTTCTTTTTCCTAAAATCTGCTGGCGACATTTACAAATTCCCTAGCTTGGAGCATTCTAAATATTTTTCTTCTTCCTTCCTTATATGAGTTTCCTGTAAACATATTATATCTGCATTTTGTTTAATTAATTTGGTTAATATTCTTTTCCTTTTTATCCTAGAGTTTAGGCAATGTATGTTAATTGATAATATTTTTTTTTTCTTCATCCATCACCTAATTGACTCTTGCTCTTTGTCTTGTAGTTGCTCCTGTCTCTCTTTGTGGCTGATTGTGCATCTTCGGTTCTTCTCTCTCTTGATGTTGTTTATTTTTTGAATTCCAACAATTCCCATCTCTATTTTTTTGGTAGTCTTGGTCGTCTTGCGAATTCATTTCTAACTCTTCTCTAATACTCGATTCTTCATGGCCTATCAATCATTTGTAGAAATCTTGGGCTTTTTCCATGGAGTCTACTTTAAGTTTTCTTTCTTCCCAAGTGATTAGCATTCCCTCTGGGATTAACCATCTAAATGTAATACCTTTTTGGTTTAATTGGTTCACCAAGAATTTGTAATCTCTCTTATGTTCTCTCACTCTTCTTAGGATTTGTTTAAGCACCAAGATTTCTTTCCCTTTGTATGTAATTGTTTCTTCTCTAGAAATTTTATATATAATATCTCGAACTTTCCTTCTGGCAAATCTCACATGGACCTCTTTTGGATGTTTATGTCATCTTGCATAATTTGTGCTGTATACTTCGTCTAACTCTTTCAGAATATCGTCCTTATCTTTTTCCAATAGGTCTGCTAATATTCCTGCCATCACTTGTTCTAAGTCCTCTTCTTTAGATTCCATTATATTTTGGAATCTTAGATATGCTGCGGCCTTATCCATTTCCAAATATACCAAGGAGTCGTCCATTTCTTTACTCACATTTCTTAATTGCTGACCAACCATTTCCAGCTTCTTTTCTGTTTTTTTCCGTTCTTTTCTCAACTTCCTTTATTGTTGATTCATTCCTTTCTAGTGCTTGCTGTATTGTTTCAATTTTTTGATCCAGCTTTAGAATGTCTAGTTTCATTTCTGCCTTTAAGTTTCCCATCTCTTCTTTTAGTTCATTTGTATCAGCTCTTGATTCAATATGATTTTTTACCACTATTTCCTGAAGCTTCAGCATGGACTCTTGTTGAGTAAGAAGGGTCGATTGAATATTGGCATTCGTGATGATAGGTTGTTTTTCTCCAGATAAAGTTTCTTCAATTGTCTTTTGTGCCATCACTGAGATTGATGGCATTGAAGTTGTTTGTATTGAAGAGGTCTTCTTTCCAGTTTAAAGCGTATTAGTGACGGAAGTCATTTCTTGTAAAATTTGTTTTTGTATTATATTAAATATGTTGTCCCAAATTAACATTCACTATTAAGAAATATCAACTATAAATGGCCACTACGCTAAATAATATGATATGTTACAGGATTAACCTCTCTTATCAATATATATATATTTTCCAGAGCACTTTTACAGCTAATTTCTAAATAAAATATCTGGACTTGTAATTCTTAATAATATATCAAATTCCTCTGTTTAAATGTAAATAATATTAACCTGTATATCTATAAATGCTATAGAATACCAAATCTCAAAATAGTGTTATAAAATAATATTTCAAATACTTAAAAATCTAAATATAGATATATCAACCTTACTATGCAATAATTAATTAGTTAATCTATAATAATCACAATTAATCACAATTAATTATTTAATTCAATCTACTCAATGCCTATAATCAAATATCTATACCTAAATAATTAATTATCACCTCCCTTTTTTATGTGCGTTATATCCAAAAAATAAACTACAATATTACTAATATATCAATTAAATATATATAAATTACATTTACCACATTCAAAAATCATTTAAGTTGGTGTCAAGAAATAATTGTTGCAATCCTCAAATTTAAATGCTTAAATTGTCTTAATATAATTGTTCAGCTCTTCAAGATTCCTTCACCGAGCGCACTGGAACTACGGAGTTGCTGAGTAATGTCTCTGATTTCACTATCTTACCACACTTTCCGCTGTAGTCGTTTCTCCTTTTGTTTGAAAGTTTAACAAGTCAATTTTTAGATTCAAATAGTCTCTTTCTTTAATAAATCTTCTCCACTTACTACAGCTCCAGTCCAATAATCCAAAAGGAGACTAGTAAATTATTCAATTTCATTCGTGGAATATTTAAAGTTGTAATTTAATTCTTTATTTCAAGTCTCCCCCCATCTCAAGTTCATCCTTCCGATTTCCCCCAAAGTCCACAATTCAAATCCTTCAAAGTTCCCTTAAATTAAATTATTGTTCTTTCTTTCTTCTTCTTTTTCTCTCCCCCAATTATTATCAGTCTCTCAGATCCCTCCGATTCTCTTATCTTCTCTATCCAATCACTCGTGTCCTTACCCTCTTCTGTCTCACAAGCCCTTTCGCCACTGCTCGTATCTGCTTTGGCCACTGTTTTCGGGCTTCACTCTGACTAAGATACTCCAATATTCAACACTCAATCAGGATCACAAATTCTTTCACTTGCACTCTTCTTCACCACAGTCTGTCACTCACTCACTTCCTCTTGGATGCAATGATCAAGGCTTTAGGACCGCCATTGCTGATAGTCTCTTGTTGTTGGTCTCCACAGGGTTTCTCTACGTCGTGATGAGAATCCCCTTTTCCACACCACAACTTGAGTCTCCCCACACAGGCGCACTTCTCTACAAGCTGCGTGCACCCCTAAGGGTCACTCCAACAGCAAGAGGAGATAGCATGAAACCCAGAGCGAGCTTCAGCACCTCCGTTTGCCCATATCTCATCACCAAATATCCCTATCTACATCCCATATTTGTGTTTCAATGTGAAGTTTTGTCCAATTGGCCAATATAACGTGAATGGATTGCTTCATATTAGTTTAATATAATACATTCATTCTAATTATTTTGCCAGTTAATTCTTATTATCTTGGCTATTTTTATCAACTTCTAATGTGGTTCTAATATTGGTTCTTTAAGAGTTCAAAAGGTGCTGAATGTAATCTGTTCTAATCTAATGTGATTTGTAAGAATAACTGGATTTCTTTTTAATGTGCTGTAATTTTTAAAGGAATTTTAATGTTTTGTACATTTTAATGTTTTTTTCCTCTTTCAGAAAACATAAACAATAGATAGGTGATAGATAGAAAGATAGAAAGATAGAAAGATAGATAGATAGATAGATAGATAGATAGATAGATAGATAGATAGAATAAATATTTTTTGTTTGATGTGCCAATATCTCAACTTTTTTTTACTACATACTGTGTACATCACTGGATGCAAGAGGGAGAAAGCAAGCAAGCATAACCAGTTTACCTTCATAGCCCCGGGAGCATAAATCATCTTTAGTTCCATGGACTCGCCATCTACTCCATAAGCCTGATCCTTTGTAGAGCATAATTCTTTTTTCAGCTTTGTTGCCATAGTTGAAATACAGGCTTGCATTTTGGATAGCAAAAAGTGTGTCATTTTTGCACTCCCATTTCTGTAAGCTATTTGTTGAATCACATGGGTACAGCTCAACTGGTGTCCAATCAATTTTTGAAGATACTCCCAGACATAATTTATTGGAAACACTCATCAACTGGTATCTGGAAATCCACTTGAATTTTTGGGCCTCAGTTTCATAACTACAAACAGCCGTTGTAACATACGTGGCGGCTTGAACATATACACAGACCTTATGGTCTTCATTATATATTAGAAATGTGCTTGTATCTATAGATATAAAAATAAGTTAAAGCATAAGTAAAGCAAAGATTGGCCATAGAACTGTTTAAAAAGAACTAGTCTTGCATATCACTAAATTAAACATATGTCTTCCAGATTACAAGACTGAATATACAACTCCTAAATAGACAACTTCTAAAAATGAATTAAGGATTAACACATATTGAATTTGAGCATGCTAAACTTTCACAGGATTGGTAGATTTAAATAAAATTAAACAGTATAATCACTATTAACAGATAAATTTCTGGTCACATTTTTGCAAAATTGTAATAAACTATAATTAATTTCTTCTCATGAAATTATAATACCTATTTGTTTTCCTACAGACCATAGTATACAAATGTGCTATTCCTACCTGGAAATTTGAAATACTAGTGTATTTTATTATACTACTTGAACTCCAAAAGTAGGGATAATTACTAGAGGGTTGCAAGAGGTTTTGGTTTGCTCTGATAGTCTTTTGGAATTTTATTGCCAGATAAAGTAAAGCCAGTTTTTATTGTTTATATTTATCATGTAAATAACTTCTAAATCAATGGCAGTACATTTTACTTTATACTTTCTTCCTGAGGCAATAGATAGGTTTTCTGCAGAATTATGACCTAAAAATTCTTCTGTTTCAGTAAAAGTTTGGCCTAGATTTATCTCATTCAGAAACCAATTTCCTCCCCTTATTGTGTTTGGCTTAAGCTATTAGGAAACAGAATACAGCTGATGAGAACGAACTCTTGCTGTTTGACAGTTGGTCTTTCTCACTGACAATACCAGGAAACATATAATTATCACCAATAGTGATAAAGCTATTGCATTGTTCTAGCAATACTCAAAATAATGAAACAAGCTAATGCGGTATATGCAGTGTTTGCAGAATGTCCTGTTTTATGAAAATATCTAGTTATAAGTTTAAAAAAGAAAAGGTTTCCAATTTTATAGATCATTCTTCTATACTGGTCTATGACCATAGTAAATATTGTTTTGAAAATAAAAGGAGGGGAGAATTTCATGAACTGCCAGAAGAAAGGCAGGATGCAATGGGGATGATTGTGGTAATGACCCAGGCAGTGGAGTAATGGTTGTGATGATAATGCATGTGTGAAAGGGATGTTTCAAAATGCATAAGGATATTTTCTCAAGATGTTTTGTAAGCAGCATATCTTTTTTTCAGGCTTGTGAAAGCATGTGTCTGAAAAGACATAGCTAATTTAAAGAAGTCCTGTGCTTAATCTTGTACTCAGGCACAATCTGAAGTACCTCTTCCAATTAATAAAAACATATACCAGAATAAGAATAACCATAATCCAAACATTATATACAGGATACCAGCAGACAGTGGAGAAACTATCCCCAAGAAAAAGTTATAAAACAGCTGTGAAAATAGGTCCTCTCTTCCTTTCCCCCCGCATCTTCAAGGCTATACCCCAAAAAAGTGTTCGGTGTTCAAACAAACCATGAGATCCACAGATGTCCACACAACAAAATAGAACATAACCATCTCAACTTTGGGAAATGCATGTGTTCTGCTTAGGGAACCAGGCTTCCGCATAGAAGGTACCAGCAGAGAATTTGAAATCAAGTTGAGCAATGCAATTCTTTTGATTCCTCCTTCTATTGATTGAAGCAATTTTGAATACCAGATTTAACCAAGGCTGCTAATCATAAATGAGCCTGTGTATTCATCCTTGTTTTTAAGTGTAATGGTTTTACTGTAAGCTATTATCTGGCACATTGTATTCTATGCATCCAAAAATTTATGCTAGATCTATTCAGGGATTCGTCTAGACAATCCTATTTTGCTTTGGTTCCACTTTGGAGCTTGCATGGCTCTAATGAAATGAAAATTGTGGGGTAGATGAATCCCTGGACAGATCTAGCACAATTTTTTGGAGGCATAGAAAATAATGTGCCAGATAACAGAGAAACATTAAATTTGAAACAAGGGTAAATAGTTCATAGCTCATAGTTCTATATTTAATAAAAGTGGGTTTGATTTTCAAGAAAACCTTTAAAAAATATACAAGTAATTCCTGATTTATGACCGCAATTGAGCCCAAAACATCTATTGCTAAGTGAAACATTTGCTAAGTGAATTTTCCCCTATTTTACGACTTTTCTTGCCACTATTGTTAAGGGAATCACTATTGTTATTAAATTACTAACATGGTTGTTAAGTGAATCTGGTTTCCGCATTGACTTTGCTTGTAAGAAGGTCGCAAAATGTGATCACATGGGCCCCCCAGGACATTGCAACTGTCATTAATACGAATGAAATCATATGACAATGGGGATGCTGCAACAGTCATAAATATGGTCATAAGTTACTTTTTTCAGTGCAGTCACTAAATGAACTGTTTTAAATCAAGGACTACCTGAAATACATTTTCAACTCTTTAATTATGATTTTATGGAGGTGAAAGAAAGAGCAAAATGCTTTTCAGGCATTTAGCTAATGCATTAAACAAGGTATCTTTGCATTACTCCAATTTCTGAAAATCCTGAAAGCTTACCTTTGCAATCATCTACAAAGTAGTCATTTAAATTATGATTATAAATCAGTATCTCCCAATGAGTTCAAATGAGATTGTCCAAAAAGAAGCAGGCACAAGGTTATAGTTTTAATATAGTACTCAGGAACTAATTTTGTAAGAGAGAACTATTTTTGCCTTTAGAATTAGAAACACTAAAGTTATCATACTGCTGCTTTAAAAACTTATTGAACTCATGTAAAACTGCACCTTAACAGAATGGCTAACTAGGAATGAATGAATGAATATATATATCTTGATATAAATCTATATTTCATGTAATGTGAGTTTATACTGGGTTTATTATAATACCCTCCCACTCTGCAATCTTCAATGAACATATTAGAGGTGGGGATTGGTGTTTTGGATATTTTATTATTATTATTTAATAGTCAGACAGCCAAAAAAAGATTTGACATATGATAGCCCTGTGCCATAGAAACCTCGCCCGTACTATTTAAGCAGACCCATCTTCCCAATCTATTAATACCATTAGTGTTAAATCATTGCATTAAATATCAATATGAAATATATGCTCTCCTATGTTTTCCTCCCAAATGGGAGGAATGCTATGTTATTTCATATGAACATTTCATTCATGTCAAAGACCTGACAGTCACTTACCTACAAGTGAAGCAGCATTGTGAAGAGCAGAAAGGAAAAAGACAAGACAAGAAATGAACATTGCTAGCCAGTTTCCACTCTCTTTCTTTCTACCAAGATATGTCATATCAGGGGCTCCTTTTGTAGCTCATCTTGTTAAATCCAGCCAAGAGAAGAGATGGGCTCATTTCTGAGAACTGATAGTTCCATGGGTGCATTCTGGAGCTCAAATGATAAGGAAATGTGCTTCCGCATGGACCATTTTGGAATAACAGGAATTTGCCATTCAAACTTTGCTTCCATAAGCTAATTTCAATGCTGAAGGGGGTGGGGAAAGGACGAGCTGCTTCCAGAGAGTCACAGGTGATAAAGCAATGATTGTTCAGCATTTTTTCTGCTCTGAGATTCTAAAATCAAAATGGAGGGTAGGAAGAGGGCAATCACCATTTGCAGAAAAGAAATGGGTTGGAATGCACTGGTGCTGCCCAGAAATGTATTGCAGAAAGCTGATTTTAAAAAGAAAAAGGCTGTTTTTGTTCTTTAGTAAGGAAAAAAAACCTGAAATGTTAAGTATGATTGATCCTGTTGTAGAAATTAATGTAGCCCTATTTTTCTAGTTGAAGGCTGCAAGTTTTTATGAATCTATCTGGTATATATCTTAATAAAATGTTTGAATAAACTACTACTGGGGAATCCCAAGACTGTGAAATCAAACATCATCCTGGAAAAAAAAACACTACCACAGTGTTATTTAGAAAACAATGTCACTGAATCTATGTAATATCTAAGATGTTTAATCTGACTGTTTATGATGTGACTAGACCTACTGCCTTCAGGTCTAAGGTGGGAGCATCTACATCAAATTCAGTGGTGGTATTCAAATTTTTTTACTACCAGTTCTGTGGGCGTGGCTTGGTGGGCATGGTGTGTTTGGTGGAAGTGTCTTTGTGGGCGTGGTAGGGAAGGATACTGTAAAATCCCCATTCCCTCCCCACCCACTAACCTGCTTTCCAGCTCCATTCTCCTGTGCAGGGCAACGAAAGAAGACCCAGCCAATCAGCTAGGATTCTGATCAGCTGGGACTTGGGAGGCAGCAAATAGATGGGGGCAGGCCAACCAGAGGTGGTATTTACCGGTTCTCTGAACTACTCAAAATTTCCACTACAGGTTCTCCAGAACCTGTTAGAACTGGCTGAATACACCTCTGATCAAATTGGCTTCTATCTTTATCTTTACCTTTATCTATCTATCATTGTTCAATTTGAGGCAACTTGTTGAAAGACAAACAATATTCAGAAAACACAGAATTCTTACACAATGTCTTCTCACTACAATCAATGATTCGGAGGAATAAGATTAAATTGTAAGGCTTATTTTCTTTTTTGATGGAGAGATTTGAAGTCTTTTGGAATTCTAATACACATTGTCTAACAAACAAATGAACACATTTCATTTTTCAGTCAAAACCATTGGGAAAACACACCACTTTTTTGTGCAACTGGAATATCAAATTTCAGCTGAATGTTGTATTGTATGAAAATTGGGCCCTTAAAAATGTTTAGTTTAGACTTTAAATAAGGGTTGACAATTTACAACCCCAAAAGCTATGTGAAGCCTTGAAACCGTTTTTGTGGCTCCTAAAAATATTTTTTTTATTTCAATTCAGTGAAAAGTTGCAATGTAGTTTCCTACCGGTATAAGGGAAGAAATAGTAAAACTCTAGTTCAGAAATAATTAAAAAGCCATATCCCTTCTCCCCTGCAAAAGGAGGGGGGAAAAAGGGACAACCCTGCTTACAGTCTGGTTCACAGACCGACACTCCTTTTGTCCAAATGACAAGAGGTAAATATGTGTGATGACATGACAACATAGCAAATGTTTGGGCTTCGCATCAGTCTAAAAGAGCCTCTCCTGGCTCTTTTCCTGAACAACCCAGGTCATAAATATGGCCCCATAAATGTGCCTCTTCTATGCCTTTTCTCCCATACATGCATTCACATGCAATCCAGTATGCCTCCACAAAATGATTATGCCTTCTTTCAACAAATACATCCTCTTTTGTTAGCCCTGCCCAACTTTTCTACTAATTGATGACATTTTTAGCTCCGTACTATTGAGAGACCAAGACTATATAGAACTCAGAGAGAATGGCCTTGGAGGACAGGAAGAGGAGGTACTGCAGTGCAGAGGTGTCAGATAAAATAAACCTGAATCTAGGAAAGAGCTGTAACATATGTGAAGAATGGAATGGAATGGAATAGAATGGAATGGAATGGAATGAAACGGAACGGAACGGAACAGAACAGAACAGAACAGAACAGAACAGAACAGAACAGAACAGAACAGAACAGAACAGAACAGAATAGAATAGAATAGAATAGAATAGAATAGAACTGGAAGGGACTTTGGAGGTCTTCTAGTCCAGTCCACTGCTCAAGCAGGAGAACATATACTATTTCAGATAAGTGCCTGTCTAATCTCTTCTTAAAACCTTCAGTGATGGAGCGCTCACAATTTCTGGAGGCAAGCTGTTCCACTGGTTAACTGTTAGAAAGTTTCTCCTTAATTCCAGATTGTTTCTCTTTTTGATTAGTTTCCAACCATTGTTTCTTGTCCTACCCCCTGGTGCTTTGGAGAATAATTTGACCCGCTCTTCTTTGTGGTAGCCACTCAAATACTGGAATTCTGCTATCATGTCACCCCTTAATCTTCTTTTCCTTAGACCAGCCAAATCCAAATCCTGCAGCCATTCTTCATATGTTTTCATTTCCAGAACTTTGATCATCGTAGTTGCTCTTCTCTGAACTTTTTCCAAAATCTCAACATCTTTTTTGTAGTATGGTGCACAAATTTGGCTGCAGTGTTCCAGGTGTGGACTTACTAAGGTTTTATAAAGTGGTACTAATACCTCCCATGATCTTGATTCTATGCCAAGGATTGTATTAGCCTTTTTTGGTGGCTGCTGCATACTGCTGGCTCATATTCAAGTGATCTTTCATTAAGACTCCAAGTTCCCTCTCACAGTTACTGTTTTTGAGCCAGGTCTTGCTTAATCTGTACTTACATCTTTAATTTTTCCTGCCTAAATGTAAAACTTTGCTTTTCTCCATATTAAAATTCATTCGTTGGATATGGTCCACTGTTCAAGTTTGTCAAGATCATTTTGGATCCTGAGCTTGTCTTTAGGGGTATTGGCTAATCCTGCCACTTTAGAGTCATCTGCAAATTTGATGAGTTCCGCTTTTATTCCTTCATCTGAGTCTCAGATCAGCTCCTCTCTTCTTCACATGAAGGAAAGAATGGGGAAGTGCATTCGGGTTTGCAAGATTCGGTGACTATAACTTTATGTTAAAAGTAGTATAGATCTACATAATTTTGATTTCTTTCTTTAGCATCTACAGCAATCCAATTTATCTGCATCACTTTTTCTATTCAAAAATTCCATTAAAAAAAGAAGCAACAACAGCAAAATCTTTCTAGTTTGAGAGTCTTTATATTTTTCTATTGTTGGAGTTTGCCAAATGATGAGTCGGTTGATTCTAAATCTTCTTCCACTACAGAGAGCAATATTTTTCTGTGAATGTTTTTAATTCTGCATTAGGCAACCTAGATTTTGTGGAACCACTAGTGACCAGGATAGAACTGCTGAAAAATAAGTAGTTTTCAGGTTCTCAGTGGGAAGCCTTTTCTTTTGCTGCTGCTTGTGAAACAATGTGTGTGTGTGTGTGTGTGTGTGTGTGTGTTAGAAACTATTGTAAACCTCATGTTTCCTTTGTCAAAAACAAAGGACAAAAAAATACTCTTTATTAGAAGTTCCTGCTGTTCATTTCCGTTAGCTATAACCCCAACAATTGTTGAGGTTTTCCATCTATAACTGTATAATATTTTAATAATTCTGAATCTCATATAATTATTATCCTCATGCATTGAAAATGCTTGATATTCTTTAATAATATTGAGGATACTTGCTCAATGGTAAACCTTAGATTATAGTAAGAACTGATCAAAAAATTTAATCTGGTATATTAAAGTTCTGATCTACCATTCCTAGTCATTGTGTACCTTGCATTCAAGTTAGTAATATTTTAGACAATTTAGCCTAACAATATTTGAATCTTTTACTATAGCTTGATTCTTCCACAATATATCCATAAGTATAATCACTATGTTACGATTTAAATTCATCCTGCTTTTTAAGTGTATTGTAGCTGCCATTTTGATTTTTTTTTTTTTTACCATATACCTATTTCAATAAAATTGTTGGATTACTCAACAATTAAAGATCTAAGTTATTAATTTTGGTTTACCTTGCTCAGCATCTTGCCATGGTATTTAATTAATAATTTAACTGATTGTTTTAATCTATTAACCAACTAAAAGGATGTCATAATAGCAGTCCTATCTCTAAAGTACAAAACTAGAAGGAATATTAGACAATGGAAAATACATACTGTGTTTCTCACAAAATAAGGCCGGGCCTTTTTTTTTTTTGACCCCCCAAAAAACGGCTAGGCCATCTTTTCGGGGGTGATTTAATTCCCGCCCTTGCATCCCCAGGTGGGCAGACGGCGACAGCTTGGATGTTGACCTCGGCATTGGTGTGGTACTTCATATCGGGAAACCTTCCGCCACCGTTGCTTTCCCTTCCCCCCGTGCTGCCGCGCCATTTAGAGCAATGCCGCAGCGTTTGGCACAGCCATGCACAGCCAGCCAGGGCTCCTCCCTGCAACCGGAGCCTGGTGGAGACACTCGGCTTCAGGCGCTCCTGTCATAGCCTTCCCTTCGCCTTCGAAGGCAAAGCCAACTCTTTTAAAAATGACACCCTACTACTGGTATGACAAAGACTCCCCTGCCTAAGAGGGCAGCCCAACCCCGCATGGGGAGGCGAATCTCCTGGGGCTGCAGTGCAGGATCGGCCCACCCCAGGAGAAGCGCCCAGCCACCATCCCTGCCTGGCACCGGACAGAGCGCGAAGAGCTTCACCTGAGGCACCCAGCACAGCTGACAGGCGGGCCCTCCTGCCCAGTGTCAAAGCTCTCGCCAAGGCAGTGAGCACCTCCCCGCTGGACCCTCCGCTCATCCCGCCAGAACCGTGCAGGATGGGCACAGCCAGGAAAGTGAGCCACGGGTGTACGCCCACCTGCCAAGCAAAAGAGCCAGGCCAACCCAAGCTTGGCTTCCTTCC